CTGCAAAATAGAAAAAAAAATGAATCCAAGGTCGTCTTTTCTAGACCTTATTGCGAATTGTACCTTTGTGAACTTGATGTCGGTCTTAAGGAAAATCGACATTTCAATAGTATATACTACTAACTTGTCGTGGCTTTGCCTTATCCCGCCAATAAGCGGAAAACCTATATAAACATAATCATTGAATGTTATTTCCCTCTTGTTATCTTTAGTTAGAGTTAGCCAAATATGATCGTCTTACTGTACTTGTCTATTGTATCTTAGAATAAAATTGCAATTGCTATAGCGAGTAAGTCATGTGAAAACCAAGAAAGAATGTATAATTTTTTGTTGAATGAAAGATCTTTCATAAGATCATTATCATCATATTATTAACCATAGGACCAAATATTTCTAAATAGGCCCATTGAAAACGACCTGCATCCAGCCTATCAGAAGATCTCACTCTGGAATTATTTTATGCTTAAATTATATCAATCAAACTGACAGTTATCATACCACATTCTGTTATATGTATTTGTTCTTCTGTCATTCATACATTTTTTTTACTCAATAACAACCTTTTTAGCAGGGTAATAAATATTCAAACAAACAAATATATTATTACTGTCCTAAGGTTTAATTTAGCTAATTAAGTCATGCTTGAAACAATATGATATATGAGTTTTTATATTTTTTTAATTTGCTGTTAATCCATGTTAATTGTTTTGTTAACAAAATACGTCTAGAAGCCGTAGGTATTTTATAAAGATAAAGATAAAAATATATATACTTCTAAGTACATGGTACACTGAAATCTTCATTATACATAGAATCACATATACTACCATTTCTGGTGGAGAAATATTAAATAAGCTAAGTCAATGCTAATCTTAGAAATTACAGTAATTTTTATTTGATACAATTATATTAATTAATCTAAATTTGTATATTTTTTGGTTTAAAAATCTACATAAAATATGATTCAGTTCAAAAGCTTTTGTGATTTTTTTGTTTCTATTTTTTTATGGAATAGAAGGCGAACGAGCTGACGGATCACCTGATGATAAGCGATCAGCGCCGCCCATGTACCCCGCATCACCAGAGGAGTCACAGGTGCGTTGTCGGCCTTATAAAAAGGAATACGCTAATTTCTTGAAGGTTATCGGAAATACCGCGGAAAATTTTGTATTCGCTGTTAACTACTATAGAAGAAAGTCATCAGCTACGAAATAGTTTTGTGTTTTTGTATATTATAAGTAATATCTAAAACAGATTTTTAAAAGTCCTATTTCTTGACAGTATACTGAACATTGACATTACTATCTTAAATTGCTAAGCCAGATCCATTAACGGCGGAACGCCTAAATAAAACATTACAATATTGTCTAAGAGTAGAAAAAAAAAATATTAACGTTAATAAACCAGATAATACTTAGCTTCTGTGTAATACATAAAAAAAACTCCTCACGGTTGTATTATGACCACAAAACAAATAGTCTCATTTGGCCATCAATTAGTAATAAATAATGCCTTTAGTACCTATAAAAATAATTTGAATAAAATTTTCGTTGTCTTGATATAAAGGATGCAGGTCAATATATCATTTATGAATACCATAAAGGTCAAAATAACCTAAAACAACGTACTTCAATAAAATTTTTATGATTTATTTGCAACAGGTGTAATTTAACACATTGATTTTATGATTTACAATCAATATAACCTTTTGGGCTAATGAACTCATTGGTTTTTAGTAAAAAAACTATATTTACTTTAATCAAGTAAGTACATTTAAACTTTACTTATGAAGAGTTGTGCAAGGTCAGTTTTTGTGATTAATACGTAATGTACAGAGAATAAGTACAATTTAATTACTTTTTTTATATTTAATGGGCCGACGTTTGACCATTACCTCGCCTGGTGGCAAACGATGATGCGGGCAACGATGGATCACGTCCTCCCATAAGCCACCTATTTAATCGGATTACTACGTAGACCAGTGGTATCAGAAATTCCCAGTGGTATTCTAGTTCTTCAATGGTGTTCTATTTAAATAGGACAATGGTATTCTTATTGTAATTTCTAATTCTAACAATGACGCGGTCTTCTGCGACAATGTGGGATTTTAAATTCTAATTTTCACATATACATGAGGATTCTTTGTTCTAAATTAACTGCTAAAGTAGCGGAAAAAGTAAACACCTAAATATTGTTAGATGCGAAAATTGATAAGGTAATTTATTAAAACAATGAACTCTACGGAAGCAAAATGCTTCACAAGTTATTATATTTGGAAGTTCATAAAAAAGACTTAACAAAGATCAAGGTTAGTGAACTATCCTTTATGGATTTTTGAGGGGATCCAATGACTTCTCCTGCCCGGGGGAGGCGAAAGGGATTGTCCGTCTCTTACTAACTAAAAACCACCCCGTTCCTACCGATACTCCTAAACTATGAGCCGGAGTCTCGGCAATCCGTTAAGCTCTTCGCGGCTATCTATCGGCACCAGCCCTGTTAGGCCCCATCTGTAGTGGTCTGATGGCTCTTTAAGGCACATGCGGAACGTGACGCGCCATACATTCGGGTCTAGTTCTGTTCGGGCGTTGTGTCACTCATGCTCGCTGCTCGCAGTCCCGTGCTTACAGTGGCCGGAGGTCTCGCCTATCCTTTAATGATGGAGTAAAACCCTTTGTTCAACTATAGTATACTGTACCTACCTTTTAAGTATATGTATTCAAATCTCTCGTAAACCCAGGCTAGTACTTTTTACTTGGACACATATAAATACTATCACATAATAAACCTCACAGAAATAATGAATTGGGATTCATTACAGGACTAACCCAGCTACACTTGCGAGCAAAGAAACAGAGACCCTAGCGTTTATTTCTTTTTCATTTCTTGATTAGTATTTTCTGATACTCGTATTTTATTAATTGGTAACGTTTGTATGTTGTATAAAAGGCCATTTAGTAACCTTTAAAATGAGAGCAATTTTTTGTATCAGGAATATTTTAGAGGGTTCGACAAAATGAAACACAAACTAGTGGATCCCTATCTTTGCTATCAAGTGTACATAGGCAATGTATAGGCAGAGAGAAAAGGAGAAGATTATACATAGTTGCTGTTGATGGTTCTCTGAACGAATAGGTATAGCGGGACCTCAAGCAAGAAGACGAACGACAGGACATCCTGAGGGCTGCCACCTCCTCCACCAAATGACGACCACGATCATTCTTTCAAGAGTGAAGCTGTGATAAAAAATATAATTTGAGAATATTTATTAATAATATACTAATTTCAATTCATCAACTCACCAAGTACAAAAAACAATCTACCTCTAGAAGCGAAAAAATTTTTAAAACAATGGTGCACTTTTTGTTATCAAAACAATGTATTTTTGTTATATAATTAACATAAAGGATAATTATATTCCGCACACATTTTAATAGATACTTGAAGAATTATTTTTATTTTATTTCAAACGTCAAACACTTCCCATAATAAAATACAGTGCTTGCAAAAAATATTTTTTTATGGTTCCTTAGGAGCTCAATGTAAACCTTGTTTTTTACGATTCAATTACTTAGGAAGATAGCATCGATCTTCAGTATCCAGCTTTGAGTAATAGATTAGAGTAGACGGTTGAGACCTAAGTTAAGACGTAAAGTACTTTTTTACTAAGGTCCTGGCCCGCTATCGGTGAATTAATTAAAAAAGATGGTTAAAAATAAAGGTAAGGAGCAAAAAGTAAACTCAGAATGCTATATCTGTAATTTGAAGTACTTATTCTGCAATGTTGTATTCTTATTCTTATTATTTTATGGGATAAGTCGATAAACGAGCAGACTGATCACCTGATGATAAGCAATCGGCGTCACCCATGGACCGGAACACCAGAGGCGATACAAGTGCATTATCGGCCTGGGATTAGGAATTTGAGGATTGTTGGGGATTCGGGGATTGGGGAGTTTGGGGAGGAGGGCGTAATATTACTTTATTTGCACCACGTAAAGGTTTCCTTTGGAGCCAGTCTTTATTAAATCTCATAAATGCATGCCAAACAACTTGACTGAGTCTAAAATTAACTACCTGGCTATCATAAAAATAACCATTATTTTACGTTTTTCTTGAAACAGACATGATATACCAAAAGTTCTTAATTATCTCGCACAGAAAAAAAAGCAGTGGTTTAACTGGATTTTTAATGTCCAGACTTGTTATATTTGATACAAAAACAAAGAGATACAATTTATTGTGTTTTTCATATTGCACTGTATTTTATTTTTGTAACTGGATTCAGTATGATATGAATTTGTTTAGTGTCATTAACTTTTAAATTTTTAATAATTTGAGGGGTTCATTGTACAAACTAAATTTTCTATTAAATTCAAAGAGAATCTTCTACTATTCTCCTAGTAATGGATCAACAAAAATGAAAGTACATAACACTTTGAGTTATCTACTACTGTGGGCACAAAATTGCTAATCATATAAATCTCCCTAACGACTAGCCCACTACGCAGGAGAAATTATAGAACACAAGGGCAAACACACGTGCACTCTCTGTTTCCTCACTTTTTGGACCCGATGGAACGGCCGACAGACCCGACCGGAGAGAGGTTAAGCGCAGGACCAATGGCATTATATGTTGTCCCAGGCTTGGTCCCAGGTTGAAACACTGTCGAACTTCTTGAGTCCGGGCTAATAATGGTCATTTTACTCGAAAAATGCCATTATCAGTTTTTGGCTGGCGCGGGAATCAAATCAAACACAGCACAATAAGCGGTAATCAAACCACTACGTCGAATAAATGTCAATATATTATTATGAACAGTCATATGAAACTGTTTTACCCATTTAAGGCAAACAATGAAGTGGCCTTGATAAATGTTTCGATGTTTTATTTATCTACGGAACCACCAGTTGCCAAAATTTCAATTGTGCATACAATAACCATCCGCATCAAGCTATATAAATTCAGTAGCTTAAAGTAAATTATCATTAGATTACTATCACACAGGATTAACAGTGCCAAAATGTTTCAATCAAAAGCGATCATTCTTAGCAGTGCCATTTTAGTTTTATGCGGCGCAGCAGCAATTTGTGAGTACTTAATTAGCTTTATAAAGCCTATTTTTTTTAAAACCTGTAGGCGTTTGGACAGAAGTTTTACAAAACAACACAAACAATCGAAGATATTTTAAAAATCTCTTAAATTGAATCCCTTATAATGATAGCCAAACCGAAAATCCTCTATATTCTTTATGCTCTATATTTTCTGCCCAATTTTACCAAGTTTAACAAATATTTTTATTAGTGTCGTGGTGGCCCAGTTCGAAACCTACCAACGGCAAGTACCAATGTGACTTTTACCGAGTTATATGTACTTTCTAAGATTATTTAGACACCACTAACAAACGGTGAAGGAAAACATCGTAAGGAAACCTGGGCTTACAATTCGTAATTATGAGTTTGAAATCAGCAACTCAGAAAACGTGGTGATTAATGCTCAAACCTTTTCCGTGTGAGAAGAGGCTTTGCTCAGCAGTGGGCACTTACAGGCTGTTGATAATGTTCATGAATACATATTAATATATAATGTTACAAACAGCCCGTCCCGGCTTCGCACGGGGTAGACAATTATTTATTTTTGGAAATTTGAATTGTTGTAGTGACATAACTACAATAGTTGGACATATGCTACCGTGGAGTTTTTTGTAGACATTATGATGTTCTTCAATATTGTTGTACATTATTTTGTTCTATCGCTAATAGTTTCGGTAGCGCATTCGACGAAAGGCATTTTAAGACTAATTTTTCGAAACCTTCGGTTACATTGTTCAAATTTTACCAAGGATCCCTATTTTTTTCAAAATGAAATGTAGCCTATGTCCAATTGGAAGAATGTAGCATTCTAATGATGAAAGATTTTTTTGAAATCGGCCCAGTACTTTTTGAGCCTATTCATTACAAACATACAAACATACAAGAATAGGTACAAATCTTTCCTCTTTATAATATTAGTATAGATGTACCGATGTCTAACTAATAATTTTATTTTCAGTTGATAAAATAAATAAAAAATGTGACTTCGGTGACGATGAATGTTTGCAAGGTTTGTATTTTGGTTTACTAGCAGAAGCAACAAATAATGGCATTTCAGAACTAGGCGTGCCCAAATTGGAACCATATGAATTGAAAAATCAACAGTTGCCCATCCTCGGAATGATAAATATTATTATACCTCATGGAACAGTCAATGGATTTAAGAATTGCGTTGGAAGTAATTTTCAGTAAGTATTTTTTTGTCTCTCGATACATAAAAAAAATATTCACTATGTCTATAAGTTTTAATACAGAGATATACACAGATATTATTATACTTTTTACTCCAATTTTCAACAATTTACTCTAAGTAGATGACACATTTATATTTCAATGTCCGTCTGGTAAATTATTTAAAGACATTAGCCACATATTTTTATTTTCTAACAGAAACAATTACCTACTTTCAGCGTTATATTCATTTGAAATATCCTGTGTGACCTTTGTGTACGTTTTATACTAAAAAATTGTGTTTTAAAACAAACGAAAAACTTACAGATAATTTACCTAACTTTAATAAGAAATATAATATAATAATCTTATTACATTTTGATAGTATAATTAAGTAAATTACCCTCTCGCTATTTAAAAGCTTGTAATGACGTAGCTAGCTCCCACTCCTAAACTTTGTTTTATCTAAGCATTGTTTTCTTGTACAACAAAATAAGAAAATACATGTCTAATATTTATCATCACCTAATTAGATTTTCAATTTTCATAACATGTCATCATACCTATTCAAGACTATTACTTTAAACTACGCCCTTTGTAAAACTCAAATGGTACTAGTAAATAAAAAAAGAACAAAATGCAAAAGCACTCCAAATTTGTTTAAGCAGTATGAGAAAGAAAATTATATAAAATAGATCTTCAGATTATGCATTCAATTACCAATTTTCATTAATCTCTTAATATTACCTTTTTCAGCAATGACGTAGAATCTCTACGTCTCAAAGTGACACTTATTTGTGAAAACTTCGCCATCAATGGAAAGTATAAGATTGAAGTGACTCCAGTACTCAAAGCTCTTATTGGAACTATCGATATCCATGGAGACGGACAATGCTCGGTTGCAGTTGGTGAGTATGCTTATTAGGTATATTCCTTTACTTCTTTCTTAGATACTTAAGAAGAACGGTGCTCCACAATAGGATTTTCTCCTGGATCGCGGGTGCGTTTACAAACATACAAGTTCACTTACACATTATAAGACAATCTGTGACCCGGAATAACAATCTGTGGATCACACAAAGAGTTGGTCCGTGCGGAAATCGAATCCACGCCGCGACATGTTGCGCGGCAGTCAGTTGTTTAAGAGGAGGTTCAAAACCGATTCTCGTGTAGGTATGAGAGTGCGAGTTTGAGTCATGCCAACAGGAGGTACCAATGACTTTTCCCTAATTATTTGTACCAGCTGTTAAGGATGATCAACAGTCAGAAACTGGGATCCTACCTGATTGAGGCGGGCGGGAACAGTCATTTCACGATTTTCCATACTTAGAAAAGAAGATTCTTCTTGTGTAACTCCCATTCATTAGCTTGTTTATAAACAACATCAGATATAGTTTGGTTGTACAACATCAGATATAGCAACTAGAATATAGATAATAACTTTTGATTGCATTCTCATTATCAAGAGCAAAAATGTTTTTCGTCGATTTATTTATATGTACTAAGGGGTATTTTACTTACAGATAAAGTGAAATTAGACCTTGAAATTGCCTACGAAGTAAAGAAAAACGAGAATGGTGACATTCGTTTTGCATTGAAACCAGAAGACACCACGTATGAGTTTGAATTTTTAGAAAAAGTAACGTTTGGAGCTGATAACGTATTCATTGGATCACAAGATATTAGTGAGTATAGTTTTATTGTTACAGAAGTAATTAATAAAAATATTATTCCCAAAGAAAAGTCAATTTAAAATATTAAGCCGCCTTTGCACAGCAATGCCCTAATACAATAAGAAGAGAAGAAAACCCTATTGTAGCCTATTGCTGAGAAAATTTGGTCATAAAAAAATTGTTTGCTTAGTTACATAAGTAGTATAGGCTAATACTAATCACTAAGTTATTGGCATTTTCAGGTACCGTGATGACCAACGTCCTAAATGAAAACTGGGAATTCATCGCAAAGAACTTTGCAAGACCCGTCATCGATTTGGCTATGACAATTTTCAGTAGTAATGCTCAAAAGGTACTTGATGCGTTACCGGTCAAGGACTTGTACAATACTGATTTAACACCTTACGTTAAGAACTCAGACTAGAAACAGAAAGTATTTTCTAATCAATATGTATACCTACCTATTTACAAATGACAGATAAATCTGCTCGGTACCTATTGCATTTTATAAGCTTTTTTCAAGTGGGGATAACTTTAATGTTTAAGCACTTTTCATATCCTTTCTAGAGTGAAAAAAGTTTCGATGTTGGGTAGCTGCTTTACTTGGCTGTTGGCACTTCTAAACCCCTTATTTTTTAATCAAACCTATTACAAAATAATATTCAAAACGTACATATAGTAAACGTAGTAGTTTTATAATCTTATGAATTAGACCTTAAACTTATTAGAGGTATACTCGTATATTACTTATCATATATACTTTTTATTGTTTTTGGTACCAACCAATAATATTATTAGTTCAATTTGAATTATAATATCATTTTGCCGCAAAAGAAGTCTACTTTATAATAATTTAAAACCAAAACCAAGTACCAAAGTGTGAATAAAAACAAATAAATATAAAATAAAATCTTGTGCTCGTTTTATCGAACATCTAAAAGGTTAAAATTGCATTGAACATAAATTGTACAATGTTGTTGAGTTCATATGCTATTATTATTAAAATACCTCTACACTATAATTTAGTTATAATATGTGTTAGTTTTATACAATAAAACTAAAATGTTATAAATTATTGGTTTTAGTTTGTTTTCAATACATTCATAGTAACTTTATTTCATTATCTGTGTGAATTATTAAAGTATTATTTTTTCTTTATATATTTGTACTAGCGACCCGCCCCGGCTTCGCACGGGTGCAATTTGTACACACAAACCTTCCTTAAGAATCACTCTATCTATTAAAAAAAACCGCATCAAAATCCGTTGCGTAGTTTTAAAGATCTAAGCATACATACGGACATACAGCGAAAGCGACTTTGTTTTATACTATGTATTGAAGACAATGCATAGCAAAATACTAAAAACTACCTACTTAGGATGTAGATTTCTCTTAAGGAGATCACAATCCTGTAAGAATATCAAATAGGATGCTCTAGCTAGACGCTCCTCAGTAATCCAAGAAAAGACGATCAAGCAGAGGTCACGTGCTTTGAGAGAGAGATCACGCCGGTAAACGAGCAAACGGATCATCTGATGGTAAGCAATCGTCGTCGCCCATGGACACCTGGAACACCAGGGGCGTTACAAGTGCGTTACTGGCTTTTTGGGGATTAGGAGTTTGAGGATCGATTCACGAATTGGGGAGATTGGGGAAGGGGAGGTTAATTGTAGTGTATAACATAGGCACTTCATAAATATTGATTAGCCACTAAGGGAAACAAATCAATATATGAAAAGGACACTGATCAGGGGTCTGTGGAGATTAATATAACCGTAGTTGTTAAAAAACATAACCGGCATTAACTTGGGATTTATTACATAAAGAGGACCTAGTACCACATGTAAGTGCTGATGGTGGCCACCAAGGTGGTTTTAGTGAGATATGATAGTCATAGAATATTTTTCGACCTTAAATAGGTGACTTTTGAAAGAACCCTCTCTATGTATGTCAAAAAAGGTCACAACACAATGACAATCATGCCTTTGTCTATCAGGCATTCAATTTGCTTTTCAAACTAAGGTATACTACTGTATCATCGTATGATGAATCAAAATACTGTACTGACATTTTTCGGGTTTTCCAAAATTCTCGTACGTCGTAACAAGGTCAGAAATCAGAAATCAGAATTTTGCCTTACGTCATGCAAAATTATTGAGTTCATTGAATACATTGTGTAAGTTGATACGGTTACATGTAGTTAACATTTCTTTAAATATATGATGTCTATGAAGTATATATGAAGGTCTTTTTATGTAGTTATATGAATTTTCTATGTAGTTACCTCTATATGAAGGTTTTTTTCTAATACTAGTGACAGTAGTGACTCATATGAATTTAGTGTGTGAAAACTTGACGTTAATCTCTGCTTATCTTTTCAATAATTATTATTTTGTTGATAGTGTGTAGGTAAATAAAATAAAACCGAATTTAAAAATAATACTTTTTATTTAGTCAATAGCCATGATGACTAAAATGACGACAAAGCTTTTAAATCAAGGTTTAGCATAAGGCGACAGGTCATCAATGATGTAATATCTAGCAGGAACGTTATCGAAGAAGTAACCAGCGAATCTGAAGTAGAACTCCATGGCCTTGTCGACGAAGGGCTGACCGAAACCTGACATCACGAAACGCCAGTTTTCGTTCAACATCGCTATAATGGGAGTGCCTGGAAATAAAGGTATAATTAGCTATCATTACGAAACGCGGTAATAATTAAATGTCAGGGGTGTAAAATTATATAATGATTATGTGAGGGGGTTTAGCCATGATAGGTATTTTTAGTATACAACTGATCATATGAGGGTATCCGAGGCCTTTGCAATGGGACGACCACAGCTTAAAATAAAAACTGATTATACATAACTTTTATCTCTTTTATCCCTGAAGTAGGCAGAGGTGTACATAACGGGACTTAATGCCACTGTACAATGTAACACCCACTTTTCACTATTTTTATTATGAGTCCCATGTATTACATGGGGGTGAGCTTATTGCCATATATTGGGCACAATTCCAGACTCCGTGCAGTAGCACGGAGTATCTCAGTACCTAGTAAGGTACTGAGATATTAAAAAAAAACCAGTAATTCGTTGCCCGACCCGGGTATCGAAACCGAGCCTTGGCAGTCGTACTTGTGACAACTCGGCCAACGAGGCAGTCTGAGCATTACAATAGTAATTTAAGTATTTCAAGTTTTAAAACCAAATTATTTCAGTAAAATCTATTTTGCAATTGGGTATTTCAATCTTGAAATGTAAGCAAGGTTACCAAATATTACCAAAATTAAGATTAAAATTCAAGACACCTGTACTAAAAACTACTTATCGAACAACGGAATCATAAGCCCGGTTACATTATTTTTGAATGCAACATTAATCCCAAAATATAAAAATTATATCGCTTAGGCATATCAAATTTTTATTCATTTAATTGGCGAGTTGAGAGAACTAAAAATTCATTCAAAAAATAATTTAACAAAGACTAAGTACCTAATTAGAACCAGTTCTTGTTTTTTTTTAGTGCAGGTTGTTATTATTCAGTTTGCAGTTTTTGCTATGGGGCTCACGTGACTCATAAATGTGGGCAAAGGTTGAAATACATTTATAAACTTGTTTTCTTATTATTCAAGTAAATTAGCGTGTAGGGTGTTTTAGAGCCGATTAAGGACGATCTCCGGCCACCGTAAGCGCGGGCCTGCGGACGGCGAGTATATCAGACAGATCCGAGCGTAAGGCGCGTCGCGTTCGCGCGCGTCTCAAAGAGCCATCAGACCACCACAGATGGGGCCCAACAGGGCAGATGCCGTTTCGTCTTCGCTGAGAATTTTTTTTTTTTTTTTAAGGGGGGAAATCATCGAATGACTCCCGCCTGGGTGAGGCGGGAGGGAGTGTCAGACTCTTACTGACTAAAAACCACCCCGTTCCTTCCTGCACGTCGAGCCGGAGCCCCGGTTACCCGATAGGTTCTCCGGAAAATAGTGAATAGTAGGTGTTACATTGTACAGTGGCATAATGTGCACCTCTGCCTACCCCTTCGGGAATAAAAGGCGTGATGTTATGTTATATATGTTCCGATATTAACTTTGTTTTGATTAAACAGTTATATCTGGAATATTGGAAAAAGTATATTTGAATTAAAAACACCTCAAAGAAAATCGACATGAAACAACGCTTGCGTTGTGTTTCGTCGTTTGAGGGAGGTTACCGGAAGCCCAATTACCCCTTACCCAATCTCCCCAATCTCTGTATTTCTAAAAATCATCAAATTCTTAATCTAACGCCAGTAACGCACTTGTACCGCCTCTGATGCTCCAGGTGTCCAAGCGCAATGCTGATTGCTTACCATGAGCAGCTGTAGCCATATGCCATTTAACGCTTGTCTACATGTAGAATAGAAAACCCAATTCTAAATTTTGACACTTGTCAGTGTAATCCCCATACATGTAGTTTTCTACTCTCTCTGTAGACAAGCGCTAAAGTGGCGTTTGGCTAAAAGCACAGGTGATCCGTCTGCTCGTTTACCGACTTATGCCATAAAAAAAATTAGAAAATCGGATAGAAAGAACAATGTATCAAACTTTATAGCTTCTAAAGTATTTATGTCATATTATTTGTACTTACTGATCTCCTGCTCTCCAACATAAAGATTATCAGCAAAGAAAGAGACTTTCCCTCCAAATTCATAGTCGTACTTGATGAGGTCGTAAATGCATTTTATGTAGATCTCGCCGTCATCGCGCCTTTGGGCGTAAAAAGGAAAATCAAATTTCAAATGCAGTTTGTCTGGAACACAAGGAAAGGTTTTGGTGAATAACAAAAATATGTACCTATGTATCGCGTATATTATATTCATGACTAGCTACACGTGCAACTG